TATGGTACTATCGAACTCAATCTTTTAATTTATAGTTATATATAGGCTATTTACATTTCCAATTACATACCTAGAATACTTATTTAAAACTTAGTTTACAGCTCTTTTAAGATGAGAACTAAAGCAATTTTGATATGATTCATAATCTATTCTGTAAAGAAAGATTTCATTTATGATGGCATTAATAATGTTTCTGCTGGAAATCAGAGGCATGTTCCAAGAGGAAAATGTATATAGGAGTACTTTTAAATAGTGTATGACACTTTGTAAATTATATATCATGAAACTAAGCTTTTGGCAAGACACTTAAAACCTATAGCTATAAAATGCAGGTTTAAGTGGTGTCCATAATGCTGAGTGTATCCGCCAACCCTTTTTTTATATTGTTAAGTAGAGGATTGTATCTGTGCCCTTTTTAAGTAGTGGGAGTTATATAGTTGAGTATAAAAAGTTTTTCTTTTTCATTATATATTCAAAAAACAGGGTAGTTAAAGATTACCAAATTGATGGCGAATTTATCAGATAAACACTTTTCTGTGGTATAGACAGTTATAATTATCAGGTGACAGGGTATTCTACTCTTTCTAATCAATTGAAATTGATAATACAGCATAATTCTTAAACTAACCAGCTGTGCCTGCTTTTATTTTGAGGACCCCATAGTCACTATAGTAAATCTCTAAGCCAAATTTTTCAAACAAAATAGCTCTTATAGAAGAAAGAATAATATATATGTGTGTGTGTACACACATAGAATGACCTATGAAGGAAGATTTTTAAATTTTTGCCAGTAAAACAAACATTGTATCTCTAAGTACAGAATATGACCATACTTTATAAGCATTTAAATAAAAAGTTATATTTAATTTCTTGTATCTGTTTCTTGGGTAATTAGTATGATTATATTTGAATGCAAAAGGTACTATCTAGAAGTTGAAACCAGCTCTAAGCCTGGTAATATATTTATTGGATAAAGGCTAACAAATATTTTGTTACTGCAATTGTTTTTAAAAATATGATTACTCTTTTCAAATGTACCATTTAAAATGCTCCAAAATGTTTTCATTATTCTTCACTGGCTCTTATGAAAAAAAAATCTTTTTTGACTTGCTTTTCTAAGATTTGTTATATTTAAATCTAAGAGAAACTGTGCCAAAAATAATGATAATAATAAAATGCAGTATAAAGGGCAATGTGGCATTAATGCAAATACCAAGAAAATAATTGAAAGAGTCCTTTTCATTTATTTAATTAAATTTGGTGTTTTATTTTATTTGAATTTGAATTTCTACTAGTTAATCTATGCAATTTTGCTTACTTGTTTTATAAGTATTTGACTCACTGGCCTGGTCTTTTTACTATAAATTTTATTTTGAAAGGTTGTTTTAATTTTTAGTGTCCTTAAATTTTATTGTCATTTGTTCACTTACTGGTAGCACCAGAACAAGAAAGCAACAACAACACAAAAAAGTAATAAATTCTTCTGGCACAGAAATAACATCATTTGGTTAACTGTAAAACCTATTTGCAGTTAAAGGTAGATTTATTGGATAAAGGACTAAAGTAAGTATTTATTGCCTTTGTCTTTACATTTTTCTTCTTCAAAGAAGGGGCATTATGGAAAAAGTAAATATAAAAATGTCTTAGTGAATTTTTGTTGTTCTAAATTCAGCAATCTACTGGCTACTTAATTGTGAAACTGTGAGATCAGATTGTTCTTAACCTTTATTCATTTTCATTTATAGCATTACTGTTTTATGAAACATGACATTTTAGGAGCCAATATAATAGGGCTCTAAAAAGGATATTGTGTCTTTAAATTCTGACTTGAGGGGTAAGACGTGGGGAAGATATTCTTACCTAACTAAGTAAACCAACATTTGAGTAGTATGCAAGATTATGAAATGTTACAGCACTATATTAAAAATAATAAAATACTATTATAAATACATCAGATAACTTAGAGGAAGAGATCAACCCAATGGGTGAACAGATGAGGAATTTTAGAGGAGACGTGGAAATTCTAGAGCTAAGAAGGTACTCTGTGTTCCCCGTGATGGTAAATGCCTGCACGTTCAAACTTAATACTTTCTTTCATAACTACTGAGACTACTTCCCCAGACCACACGTGCTCTTCCTCATCGTCTGGTAAATAAATATCTCCTGAGGCCTCTCTGGGACCCCGTGTCTAGCTTGTTAAGTGAAGGGGGCCCTGGGGACTCTTACCAGCTCCCCTGCAGCCCACGTACCGCGGGGGTTACTGGGGAGGGACCCCGGGAAAGGCTCTCTGAATGGGCTGGGCCCTGAAGGCAGCTTCCCACTGCCAGGAGCCCACGGAGGGCTTCAGACTTCAGCTCTTCCGCAGGCC